CTGCCTCTTACTATCTTCCCGTCTCTTTTATTTCAAAAATGCTTCTTCATCGCTTTGTGTTTTGAATGTTGTTGTTGTCGATAATGTTCGTTTTAACAGTTCGTGTTGGATTAAGTGAGCCAAAGGTTCGAATGTGGGTATAAGGCCTATGTTGCCATGAATATAAAAGTGTTATATCTGTCGTTTGTTCGATTTCAAGGTGTATTGCGAGCTGTGATTCTGTTCAGTTGTGTCTGCTGGTATGCTATTCGTTGTGAGATCGATATTATTCGATATATGTTTTGGAAGTTAGCTTTTATATGACTTAGTTGTTCTTGTTGGTTTATTAAGTAATACATTGCCGTTTGAAATTTGGAATCAGCATGACAATTGTTATATGTTTCATCCCGGAAACGTGGTTTGTCTGTTAAGCTTTCAAATATGTGTTCTCTCTGTTTGCATTTGGAAAACTGTTTCAGGATGATTTGATAAAGGGGAAATATCTTAGTTCTTATTTGTTCTTCCCTTGTATTGTATAGCAATTCTCTCGCTTATCTTCTCCTGTATGATAAGTGGGTTGATTTATTTGTTCGAAGTCTTGTATAGAGTCACATTTGATCTTGCTTTAGTTGGGTCTATCATCTTCTCTATGTCGAAACTTGGATGTTCTTTGCTATTCTTGTAGCTATTTCCTTAAGGAACACCAACTAGGCTTATCCGATGTCTTGTTTGGCATCCTTAAAGTTAGCGTGTTTGCTAATCTTGGATATTTTGGTTGGTTTCTCTTTTTATTTGACTTTCTTTAGAGTTGTATGTTTTTATTTATTATGTTTCATCCAAAAATTATTTGATTTACTTTGTCGTTTTGTATGCTAACTCATTTCTCCTTCATTGCATGGGAAATTTTTCTCTCGAGTTCATTTGGGATTCCTTTCTTCTTTTAGCATTTCGGAAGAGCCGTAAAGGCTCCATTCTTCTACCGATTCGAGGCAAAGTGTGGACCACAATATCACAAAGATTGAAGAACTTGAAGAAATAGATTAGAAATTCCTTTATTTTATGCGTTGTATTTTATTTGTAATGGGCATAAGCCCTTGTTGTTTTACTTTCTTGTATTATTTTGTATGTTTAGATTAGGACTGGAACGAAAGAAAAATGGGTCAGAAAACCCAAAAAACAGGTGGGTCCAAAACTCGCTCAAGGCGAACAGAACCCGAGTTTGGACCTAAATCTCTCTCTCTCCCTTACTCTATCTCTCTTTATTACTTGCCTATGTGTGTTGTCTAAATGTCGTTAGTCTACGCTTAGGAACCTCCGAACCCCGACGAGGCGCTCTTCTACTTTACTAAATTTAAAACTAAGTCCTAAAAACGGTATTTCAAATTCGTGAAATTTGGTTTAGATAAAACTTTAAAGAAGGTCAACCTTGAAATAGATTCGCAAAATTGTGAAATAAACAACAAAGATTGCAAAACTTGTCAACTTGTTTAAATGAAATAAGCTCAACTTCGAAATTGTAAAGGTTAAAAATAAATAGTCAAATCAGTTAATCATCGGTAAATCGTGTTTAACGGAGTATCTTAGGTGCCTTACACCTTCCTAAGACACTAATAAGAATCCCGAACCCCCTAAAAATAGTTTCAAAACAATTTTTTCTGTTTAAGTTGTTTAGAAAAAAAGTTTTCTTGATATTTCTTAAAAAATTAAGTGGCGACTCCTAAAGTCGAAAAATACGTCAAAATAAAACAAACTCTTTTCAAAAATAATTTTTCGATAAAACATTAACTCACTGTTATATTTGTTTAGCCAAATTATTTCTGAGACAAGTAAGTAAAAGGGGGGCTTGTGTAACAAGTAACCAAATGTTTTTCAGAAGTGAGCAGGATAAGAACATTGTTTTTATTAATTGGAGAAATTAACTAGGGTGTACATGTTCCTCATAATCTTATAATGAAGTAACAATAGTAAAATTAATCCCTTCCTACTGTATTATTTGAAAAGGGATAAGTTATGTATCTCTAATTACTTGGTCCGACAACTAGACAATTTCACCGAGCTCCTTGGTTCGGCTATATGTGTATAATTTACTAACCCTAGTATTTACCTCATATTAGACACCACATCAATGTATGACTTAGTTTTCACCCTCGCACCAATTGACATTAGAATATTAGATAGTATCTCACTAAATCTATGTGGATAATTTCTTTTCTCATTAACTACATCCTTGGTCCGACAAGTAGAAACAATGTGAGTTCTAACGGTTGGAACAAATAAAAATACTTTTAAACAAAATAATTATCAATGCATGCAATAACACTATTCAAGAATTACTTAGTTACTATTCATACTTTGTTGATCGGTCATGGTTCCCACAACCCGAGTTGTGGATTTAGTTACCCATAATCGCTAGTGATTCATATTTTTAGATAAAAAATCATGAACTTACTTAATAAGTAGAAGAAACCCAGAATTTCACCTGAATTTCAAACTTAAATCTTCAAAATGAACTTCGGAAATCAAGAATCTCTATAGTTTCAAGTTAATCTCCAAAGCCAAAAACTAGAACTAAAATAATAAGGTCTAACTCCCAAAAATAGGTTTAAGAAGGAAATGAAATAAGGAAATAAAGTTTATGGATGCGGTTTTGATCAATGACACTGACCTACAAACTATGGAATAACCTATGGACTTGAAGTCCTTTTGTGGTTTGGGTAAATTTTCTAAAGCTCTAAATCTTAACCTCTTAGTAATATCGATGTCTAAGCAATAAAGACAGTGGTTTGATCCATGGTCCGTAGATCCCCCTCTCTGGCTTCATAATAAGACTTTTGAAAAAATCAATTGGAACCCCCTTCTGTCAATCATTTAACGGAACTACAAGACGACCCTTAGGTCAACCAACAGTCTATCATTTTTAACCGTGCTTCCACACTTTGTCAAGAATTCCTGATTTTCTTACAAGACTTTCTTGTCCATATACCCTACCACTTACAGAATATGACAGAACCTACGGTCCATAAGTCACTTTCGTAGATGCATTTTTCTGCATAATTCTTCAATTATGTATCTACACTTCCATGTCTTAACTTATTTCCTTAAAACGTGATGAAGACTGGCTAGAGTTGAGGACGAGTTGAAGTCGATGGCACGTTTGCTGCACTCCACAAATAACAAAGAAGAAAATTACAAGTAGGGGTCAGTAAAAGGCACAAGTACTAAGTAGGTATCATAGGCCAACTCAAAATAGAAAGCAATATATATATCGAATAATAACATAAAACCAACCAAATACTTAACAAGTGACAACAACAAGTACCATAACCATTGTCCACAACACCAAGCACATCTATGAGGACTCAAGCCTCCACACCATACTCACTTAGAAATTAGGTTCTTCAAACCTGAGTATATTAGCATAATTCAAGATTCATTCTCTTTACTATCATGGTGTCGGAACGTGACACTCCGATCCCCTCAATATTCATTCATCTTATTATTCTGGTGTCGGAACGTGATACTCCGATCCCCTTCTACCCTGGTGTCGGAATGTGACACTTCGATCCCCTACTATCCTGGTGTCGGAACGTAACACTCCAATCCCCTACTATCCTGGTGTCGAAATGTGACACTCCGATCCCCTACTATCCTGGTGGCGGAACGTGACACCCGATCCCCTACTCTCATTATTTTCAGTTCATCAAGCCTTCCTTCATATCAAGGCATCATCATTAACAAAGAGGTTTTAAGGTTTAAGATTCAACAGCCTCATCATGCTAATTCATCACAATTATATAATCACATCATGCAACCACACAATTAAGCATATAGAAGACTTTACAATATTACCCCATACATATCATTCGCTATTAAGAGTTTACTATGGAAAATCATAAACCATAACCTACCTCCACCGAAGAATTTGTGATCACGCAAGCTACTCCTCAAGGTATTTGCTTTCCTCTTCGTTCTCTCTTCTCTCGCTCGTTCGTCCCTCTCTTCTGTTATTTCCATTTTTCCTTATTCAAACTCTTTTTTCTTTTACCCTAATTACCATATAATTAAGTATAAAAGATGGTAAAAGTAACCCACTATTTATTTTAAGGTTAACTCCTTTAACCCTCAAGTAAATAAGTTATTAAACTTACCCACTAATTTCAAACAGCTTGACATAAATAGTCCAAAACACCCCTTAAAACTTTTAACAGAAATCCAACCCAGTCAGGGTTACGCAGCCTGTGACGGTCCGTCGTGCCTGCGACAGTCCGTCCTTCTGAGTCATCACAGAGTTCAGAGACTCAATTTCATTTAAGACCCTATGACGGTCCGTCGTGCCTACGACGGTCGGTGCTGCTCTTCCGTCCCGAAGTTCAGAGAGTTGATCTCAGTACCCAAATTTCCAGGATATAAGTGTTTTGGAACGAGACCCCCTCGACGGTCCGTCGTGCCCATGACGGTCCGTCGGGGGATCCGTCGACCCAGACAGTTATTACCAGAATAAACTCTACTGCTCAAAAACGACTAAACAGGTCGTTACACCTAGGATGAATCCTGCTTGACTATCACTGATAAATGGTATGGATGACTTCATGCATTCTTTGAGTAATCACCTTTGAGATGATTTTATACATCACAGTGCAGCAAGCAATAGGTCTGAATTCTTTCACATTCTTTGGACTCTGAACCTTAGGAATCAGTGAAACAAGTGTACAATTGAATGACTTAAAAAGGTTTCCTGTATTGAAGAAACTTTTAACAGCATCAATAACATCATGTTCAATGATCTTCCATGTATGTTTAAAGAAAAGTGCATTATATCCATCAATACCTGGAGCCTTATCACTCCCTATAGACTTCAAAGCTTTAACTATCTCATGATCAGTTATTGTTGCACAAAGCTTGATTCTGTGTTGCCTTGATAGAACAGGTCCTCTTTTCATCACCTGAGTATTTATAGTTGGTAGCCTATCTGCTGCTGTGCCCATTAAACTTCTATAAAATAAGACAAACTCATTTTGAATCTATTGAGGTTCATGTAGCATTCTTCCATCTAATGACATCAGACTTCTGATGGACTTCTTATTATTTCTCTCCTTTATCACTGAGCTAAAATATTTGTTGTTTTCATATCCTAGCTTAATCCATTTTGCTCTTGCTTTTTGCCTGAGTGCATTTTCTTCTAACATAGACCATTTTTCAAGTTTTGTTAGGAGTTCTTTTTCTTTACCAACTAACTTATGTTTTGCTTGATTACCAAGCTGGTTTTGCACTTCTGCAAGCTCAGTTCTAGCATCCTCAATCTGCTTGCTGATGAATTTGAACTCACTATTATTCAACTGTTTTAGGACATGTTGGAGGGCCTTCATTTTATGCCATACCATCTTCATTGAGTCTTTTCCTTTCTCCTTCTTCCATACTTTCTCCACCA